CTGACATATGGCCCCAGGATGACATGCCACGAAGAATAATGCAACCGGCCGCAGGATGGTATCAACATGCAAAAGCTGTTAAAGATGCACGGAGCAAAGCAGGGCTGTTAAAGATGTACGAAGGATCATTAAAGATGACCTGCTGTCATAAGAAATATCGTCCCGCACCATCAACACCAAGGGTTACGGCTGTATGCCTTTGTAAAACAAAGGTAGGTTGATTGGGACCGCTGGCCTCGTCTTCTCCAGACACGAACACGGTGGTCATCTGCTTCAAGAGTGAAGCGGGATTTAGCGCTGAACACTATACGATGCCAGTCTGATGGTAGCCATGATGATCGGCTGCGACACCACCCCAGACGACTCCGCCGATGTTGAGGGGTCAAAGGTAAACGTCTTAAAGGCTTCTGTTAGCGTAACCCCGCCTCAGACAAGCGCCGTGAGATGGTGGACAGTACTACGGGAGGTATAGACTGTAGTGCGTTGAATAGTCGACAATGATATCGTTGGGGCGGTTCGGGCATGGCGAACAATCATCCTATTTTGCCTCTCATTTGTGCTCCTTGTCCTTCCAGAGCCTTCGCCGGCAATTTCCTTGTAACAACCATTGCTGCCAACATTGCCACCATTGCTGCACACAGTTTCTGTACGCTGCAGGTGCCGGCCTATTGTTCGGTATGACCACCCAGCTTAACGGAACCCTACAATGCGACCACGTTCGAAGTCGTTTGGTTTCTGTAAGGTCTTCGATATCGTCGTAATGGCATCTTTAGTTGCTTCTTTACGGAATTACAATGGCAGGAACAAAAAAGATAAATTTTCAGCCTCTGTTACTGGTTTTATGCTTTGCGAATTGCGCGCTATGATCGCAATTTTCGCTCATTTGCCTTGAAATTTTAATCATTTGCATGTTCGATCATGATATTTTTGCATACTAAATTTCGTCACGATCATAAAAGTCCTTGGCGCTTTGATTTTTTTGAAAAAGAGTATAATTATTGCTAGAAATGCATTGTTGTTTCAAAAATCAAGATGGATTTTATTGGAAAGAATAACAAATTTATTATTTTGAATCACTTTGAAACTGAAGCAAAACTCTTGTCATTTGAGCATAACCGAGGGTTTAAGATATGTTGAAAATCAGAAAGAATGTCAGCGGAAATATACAGATGAGAACGATCTACTTGATGCAAGAATATTGTCCATGTAGTTTATGAACCTTAGCACAGATTTCTCAAAAGAGTAAAGAATGTGTTGAAAAAGCCCTATATCTTCTGCACGCGGAGTTAATTAATAACATGGTACTTTCCAGAAAACCTTCCAGGCAATATTACGCTTTTTAAGAAACGTGCTTATCACATTCGAACATTCCACGTACTTGGTGGAAAATTTTTGCGACTTCTTTGCAATCTACTTATCGCACTGTGGTGGATGAAAATAAAGACATCTAAAGGCATGTGTTGTTTACTAATAAGACTATATTTTATACTTATAGAATGGTTTATATACACAAAAAGCAGGATATAAGCTGAGGGCAGCCCCATGAAATATTCTATGACACAGAAACTCACTCAGCATTAATGTTGAATTTAAATGAATGAAAAAAGGCACCTTCGCAATTCGAATTCTCTTAGGTGACAAAGTTATCTAATAATTAACCCGATGTCTGATAATTTTTTTAGAGGAACACTGAGTTTTCGATGACTTTGACCATACTATTACGATTTAACAAAATAGAGCACAGCCAATATTTAGCTTAAATCATAAGTGCATAACTTGGAAAAACATTACTCAATCGTTAAACTGGATAGAGTTCTTATGAAGAAGAATGAGTACTCAATACGTTTAACAAACCTGATGCAACATATTTTTTAGCCCAAAGGGCGTTAGCTCAGAAAGGCTATTAATTTCGTTTTGGCATTTTGCTTTGCAAACTTTAAATGTCGGTTCACTTTTCAAATTGTTGCCACCAAATATTAGCGTCTTCTGTTACACTTAAAGAAATTAAATAATGAATGCATGTATATTTCTCGCATAGTGATGAAACAAAGGCACCTAGAAGACATCCAATTTTGAATAACGTAATTCTCCACTGAATATGGGCATCTGGAAGCCCTAATTTGTAATTTGAAATTTGTTTTACTATCGATTTCACATTTTGTAACAATTCAACAAATTTTTGGTTAACAAACGCTACGATTTCTAAGAAAGCAATGAAAAAACTGTTCGGAGGGAAAACAATTACCTCTAGCGTTCGAGACTATATGTCGGAAATTCTAAAGATATGCTCATTTAAAAACGATATTGCCATCTAGCTGTTGAACTGAATTTTATGGTTTAAGTGCGAAGAACGTGATATTTAATAAATAAAGATAACAGACAAAATGTTAAAAAAACGCCCCTTTGGACGTAATTTAAAATCTGAAACCTTTCAGATTTTTTTTCCGCTTGAGTGACTTTTTAAAATTAGAAGCGAGCAAGATGAAGATCGCAAGCCTTGTGTAACTGAAATTCTCATTTAAAACTCATTAAAAATGCAATTAACTACTTTGTAAAACTAAATTATTTTCAAAATTCAAAGATTCCTTTTTAAACTACAGAGTTATCTAGTTATCTGAAGGAAACTTAAACCAAGAGTATCTTTAATCGTTCTTAAGTTACATGGTGTATAATTAAAAATAAAAAGTTCGCGTAACCTTTACCAATAAAACAATACTCTACCAGTAGTAGAAAATTGTATAAAAGAAATAGCACTAAAATTTATCTTTTTGCAATAAATTTAAAAAATGTGTTCTATTGTATCAATCTGGATATGAAATCTAGATAATATGATTATTTTTTCATTTAGATTTTTTTATTGCATTCTGTACGAATTGTGTTTATATGATGTAATTTTTATGCTTTTATAGTATGTAAATAGATTTTCGGTTAATGCAGTTCCCGTAAACATTTCTCGCTTTTTTAATTGCACGCAACAAGTAAAATTTGTAATTTATATCTTAAATATATTACATAGCCATATAGTTATGTGCTTATTTTAAAACATTCCTGTTTCTAATCTAGAGTTTGTAATGTTGCGCGCTTCCAACCTGCACGCAACAATAACGGTGACTGCTATGAACTGGAAAGTATAAAAAGTCTTGAGAAGGGTTTAAATCCCTTTTTATTCAACTTTAGAAATTACAGATGCGTGCTCTTGACGCTCACAAACTACGCCGACCCGGCGGTAAAATAAAAATAAGAAACTAAAAAAAAGAATAACAACAAGTGACTAACTACGAGGCTCTCTAAACGTAACTAACCTATTCGCGTTCTAAGATACCGCTGACAATTCAGCAAACTTCTTAATATTACGTTGAAAGATTTAACAATCTGCCGAGGCAAGCACACAGGCCGAAACGCGTGGTTCTTCAATTTCTAACTAGCCACCTCCACGCTCGTGAAGCAAGAAAGCACACTATCGAACTCGTTTCCCTTCTATTTAACTCAGATTACTTCCGCTGACAATTTGAATCCTTGCGCGTTCTACTAAAATTTACATACTCTGGCATTGGCAATTCCAGGGAAAAGTAAGGCTTGACAGGAAAGATAGTTTAAACTTAAAATAAATGTTAGTTAAAATAAATATAAACCCTACAAGTTAAATTTCAAGCAGCAATATTCTTAATTTTTAAAATACAATATATGCTTCTACGGTAGTTTGGTTTTAAAATTTTAGATGGAACCAATATATTTATTGAGTTTTAGTAAACTAGTTTTCCCGTTGTTTAAATAATAATGTAAGGATAAGCCCATAAATTTGAAATTTATATTAAAAATATACTATATTATATTAAGCAAAATATACTCTTGATTTTTAGTTAGTGAAGTTAGTTTTATATTCAATCTCTAGGAATTTCGAAGCAGTCTGATAAATTTCTCTCTATTTCAATGAATAAAAAATATTCTGAAATACAGAAAAAAATTGCTATAAAATTCTCTTAAATGCTAATCTATAATAAAAACAGCACATGAAAAAGAACATGATAAATTAAAATTTTAATTTTAATACAATTTACCCTGACTAAAACTGACTTTATAGAAAATATTTCGATAGACTGGGCTTCTTATATTTTAAGCAACATAAATAACTCTTGCTTATTTTTTCCAAAATATACTTCAATGTAAGTTTTAATATCTCCTAATTTCACATTTTTATTAACATGCATTAACATTAACACTTATTTTATTTTATGCAAAGATAAATTTTCCACTACTCTTTTATAAAGTAGAAAAAATAACATCCATATTTATTGTTACAGACTGTAACATTTAAAATGTAGTTTGAAGTTGCTGTTTATTTTCATTTGGATGAGAAAATCTCTTCGTTTTAAAAAGGGGGAAGAGACAAAACCTAACAAAATATTCAAATATTATGTACTAGAAATGCGTAACCTAAAAAAAGGTTTCAACAGTATTACATTTTTATTTCATGGTCTTACGAATTTAATTAAATAAAAAATTTATTTTATTTTACTACGAAACATTTTCTAAATATCAAAATTGAAACCATTACGATCAAGATCTATTATCGCAGTTCATATAAACAGAGCTTTTCCACCGTATTGCTGAAATAAAACTTTAAACATGTTTTTATTGGATCTATATGATAAAATAAACTAATTCGTGATTTTTATTTAAATTCTTTAATTTTCTATTTCCTTCTCCCTCCTCGGTGCAACAGTCACTTATTCATATTCAGTTAAAAAATAAATTGCGACTCAGATTTAAAATATTTGAAATGACATTTTAAAGAACATAGGTTTAAAACACATGATTTTTCAAGAGTGAAAAATATGAGCAAATTTGTGTCCTCCTTATTTATTTAACGTATCTTTTATTTTTGCAGAAAAACACACATGCACAAAATAGAAAGAGAAATAATATAAATCCACAGAAATATGCATTAATTTTATATTAAAAGAAATCTGTGGTATTATACGAATATCTTAAATACTCACATTAACCAACGTAAGAACGGTATCTTTTGCTTTAAGCTTCTCTGCCGAGCTTAGCTGTATGTACATAAACACAAGATGATAAAATCACTAACCGCTCGAGAAGAGAGGTCTTAAACGAGTGAAAACGTATCCTTGTTCTGTTACAGCATCCAGACACGATCTTTTTTGTTCTTAGGGTTTCTGTTTATTATTTCTTCGAGCTTTCGAACGTCACCTAGGACTTCCCAAAGAACCAGTTTTTTAAAACTCACGTGTTCCGCTGCGTTGCACGAGAATAACCTCAGAGGTTAAAAAACAAAGAAAACATCACTTTCCTTTTCGTTTATTGGCAAAGAAATTAGCGTTTTGTTTTTGTTTCACAGTGGCGCCATTTTCAAGTGCAAATGGAATATGGGATTCTTATTAGCCGGTGATATTTCCAATCTTTTCGAATTGGTTCCGCTCAGCAGCAAGAATGGCCAATCAGGAATATAAGCACTTCCTGCCGCTGGAGGTGAAGGCGGAATGCTTATCGACCGGTCAAAATTTCCATGCTCTATTGCGCAGGCGCCACTTAACAGTACGGAGGTTTTCTTTTTTATTCACTATTCTCTGATAGTTTTGAAAGTGAGGGACGAAAAAACGCATCTGCGGAATTTAAATTTGTCAGAAAACTGCTGACCGTGTCAGGATCCCTGAAATTAATCATAATTATATTGACTACAGCTTTCGAAGTTTCGAAGGCTGTTTACGTTGATGTAAGAAAATTTTGAGGGACATATTTGGAGCTGAACTGAAACCCTTGCGAAATTACCAAGTCTACTTAACTATGCTTTTAATAAAAGAGAAAAAACTCTTTTACTTACAATAGAATTAAAAAAATTGAATATCCCCATTTTCTTTTCAAAATCTATCATTATTAGTCTTGCTGTTTTGATAGACCATTGTGGTGTAAATAATGTTAATCAAATTTAATCACTACATAGGAAACAGCGTTGAAGAACTAACGTAAATTTGCAATCACATTTGAGATAATAATGGAGACAATGTAATTGTTACACGTGCAATTGAGAGAAGCATTTTACGCAAAAGTAAAGCAAAAAAGCATTTTTTAAAATTCTTTTTGTTACAATTACTTATATGTTTTAGTTGCACTTACAGCATTATATGTATTTAAGTAAAAATAAATAAATAAAATAAAAATAAATAAATAAAATAAAAACGGGAAAGATTTTATTTTATTTTATTTTTTTTTTTACTTTAGGATTGCATCATGTTATATTTGCTACAAAAAATATACCATGATGTAATCCTAAACTTCTAACATTTGATATTTAGAACTCCTATATGATTGAGAACAATATATTACATTTTAGCTATATATAATAAAACAGTAATGGTACTTTACACGGAAATCTCAACATAATTTAGTGAAAAAATGTAGAATCACAAAAGTTTGGCAGACAGGTTTGTCAAATTGTGTCTCCTGTTGATTGGTTTTTCTGTTTTCAGACATTGACAGACATCGACTGGAACCACTATTACTTCTGGTAGAATTTGAAAAATATAACCGAGATTTTAAATTTCATAAATACCAAGCTGTAGTGCTTTCAGATGTGTTCTTTTGACGAAACAAAAATGTAAGTGATTGGAAAAGTAAAACTTAAAATATAAAATTTAAGATTTAAATAATGCGGAAGAAAAAAATTAAAGTTAGTGTCCCAATATATATATGCGGTATTTACTGAATAGCTCTAGCCTCAATGAAAGCATTTTTTTTTTTTTTGTCCTGCATCTACAGTGGATGGACAAAAATATGGAAACACCTTGTGAAATGCATGTTTGAAAAGAAAGATTGATTTTAATGAAATATGTAGGTGGCGCTGGTATTTTTGACTACTGACGCCACCTATACAACTTCGTAAATGTGCTAAACAGTTCAGTTGTTGTCGGAGTACTGTTATGTGAGGTTGTCATTGCATTATGTCAGAGTTAACAGACTTCGAACGTGGGCAAATTGTTGGAGCACGTATGGTAGGTGCTTCCGTAAGCAAGGTAGCCGAGGTGTTTAGTGTTTCAAGAGGTACTGTATCGAAGATTTATTCCGCATATTTGAAAAGCGGAAAAAACATCATCTGCTAAATCACAGCGCGGACGAAAGTGTGTCCTGAGTGATCGTGACAGACGATCATTAAGGGCAATTGTGACGAAAAATAAGAAGACCACAGCTGCAAAAGTTACTGCTGAAATGAATGTTGTGTTACCGAACCCTGTGAGTACCAAAACAATTAGAAGGGAGCTTCATAAACAGGGAATTGCTGGCCGTGCTGCAATTGAGAAGCCACTCATCAGTGATGCTAATGCCCGTAACAGGAAAAGGTGGTGTTTTAAGTCATAAAGCCTGGACTATAGAGCAGTGGAAGCGAGTAATATATGGTCTGACGAGTCTTCTTTCACATTGTTTCCCACTTCTGGCCGAGTTTACGTCTGGAGAACGCCATCTCAAGCCTATAATACAGACTGCTTGTTGCCAAGAGTGAAACATGGCGGGGGTTCTGTTATGGTTTGGGCAGCCATATCGTGGTTCTCTGCTAGCCCCATGATAACTGTGTCAGGGCACATGACTGCCAAGACTTATGTGAACATTTTGGCCGATCAAGTTCATCCCATGGTACAAACTTTGTTCCCCGATGGTGATGGTGTCTTCCAAGACGACAAAGCCCCTGTTCACACACAGCTCACATTGTCCAGGACTGGTTTTCTGAGCACGAGGATGAGTTGTCCCATCTCCCCTGGCCACCACAGTCACCAGACCTGAATATTATCGAACCTTTGTGGTCTACATTGGAACGGAAAGTGCGTTCTCGTTATCCACCGCCAACATCGTTATCTGAACTTGCCACCGTTTTGCAGGAAGAATGGTATAATATTCCCTTGGCAAACATACAGGAACTGTATTTATCCATTCCGAGAAGACTGCAAGCTGTTTTGGATGCCAACGGGTTTCCTACACCATATTAAGCAAAGAAACATGTTTTTTTAAAGGTGTTTCCATATTTTTGTCCAACCCCTGTATATTCGCAAGTGTCATACTTGGTCGTTTAAGATTTCAAACACTTGGAATGTGCTTTGAACCAGGGCAATTTTAAATTGACATTATCAGGCCCCAAAACCCTTTTCGAGATTCGAACCCCAGTCAGAACTTACCAATATTCATCGATTTTACCGCTCAGCCGCTTGTGTTCCTGATTTAATCATAGAAACTTGCCTTAGCAAAAGGATTGGATACAAAAGGAGGATAAACTTATAGTTGTGCCAGTATTTTAAATTTTTATATTGTTATTTATCAAAGATTTAGGCTTGTGATTTTCAGTTCCAAGCTTTCAAGGATTTCGTTTAAGCATTCTGCGTTGATTCACTATAAGCGGTGAATAATTTTTAAATTGTTGCCACCAAAAGTTAGAGCCCTGTATTATATTAAAAAATTAAATAATGAAGAATCTGCATAAATATTTGTATGTTTCTCGCATTCTGACAAAACAACGGTACCAAGAGCCATCAAATTTCGTATAACGTAATCTCCACCCGAATGTGGGCAATTGGAAGCCCATATTTGGAATTTATTTTGTGATCTATTTCGTATTTTGTAAAGCATTTATGAGTTTGTGATTAAGAAACTCATCGATTTCAAAGCGAGCAGTGCAAAAAATTGTACAAAAAAAAAAAAAAAAAAAAAAAAAAAAATATCTCCAACGCGCGAGACTTTGTATCGGAAATTCTAAAGACATGCTGTTTTAAATATTTTTCAATATTGCTGTTGAATTGCATTTTATGGTTTATGTTCAAAGAACATGATGTTTAATATATTAAAGTAACACACAAAACGTTAAAAAAACGCCCCTTTAGGCGTAATATAAAATCTGAAAGCTTTCAGACATTTTTTTTTTTTTTGTTTTTTGTTCTTTCTATAATTATTGCAACGTATACCAAAATTTGTGAATTTAAACTTTTTTAAATAATTCAATCATGTAGAAGTTTACAGAAAATGTTTCAAATAAAAATCCAGCTTACTCAAACCATTTTTTATTTTCTCTGAAATCTTTTTAATTTCATAGTTTGAATAATTTAATTTTAATTTCATGGATAAATATTTTAGCTTATTAAAAGCATGAATTATTTTACCTGTATAAAGTAATTTGACGTCAATTTATTGCTAATTTCAAATTTAGAATCAATAAACACCACATTAAAGACACAGATACTAATCTTCTGAAAATCGCATTCTCTGAAGAACAATACAAGGAAAATGTATTAGAAGTTCACGGATTTTTAATGCTGTAGAAAAGAGAAATGAAAATACTTCAATCGCTACGAAAAGTCATTACATTCAGAATTATATTTTACTAATTATACTGCTCGAATAATTTAAATATTACGTATTTGTGTTACTTAAATTTTACCTTCACAGACATGCATTTTTGAGACGGCATAGGAATATGGCTTTATTCAAAGTACGAAATTAGTGATATAAAGTGAGATTAAAGTTAATAGTATGAAATGAGATTAAAATTAGGATAAAATTACCGACAGTAAAATAGCAAATAGGATTAAATATCAAATGACGTACGCTGAACATATTTTTACTTCTAATTTCTCATTCTCTACTAAAATCCCAAACATTCAATAGATACGAGAAATTTGCTGTAGTCAAATACCTCCTTTAAAGAAACTTTTGTTATGATTTCAATATTTAGACTTATTACGTTTCTGAGAAATATGCAATACTACAACAGAACGATAAGGAATACATATAATTTAAATTTTGATTTTAATAATATTACAGACTAAAAGGGGAATTTCAAAATGAGCCGTTTGTAATGCATTAAATGTTTTAAGTTGTATTAATTTCTTTAAATATGTGCAAATTTACTATGCACATAGTTAAAGTTACTAATTATGTGCGCATGTTCTAAGCACATAGTTAAAGTTACTAATTATGTGCGCATGTTCTAAACACATAGTTTAATTTATGTGCAGAACTACATTGCACATAGTTATCTTCATGTCATGAAAATTTCTATTGATAGAGTTTATTTATTTTTATGTCTAGTATTTAACCCTTTGTTTTGTGTTAATAAAATTTTCATTTTAAGCATTAAATTGAATCGATCTAAGTTCGAGTTTAAGTAAATGTACGAACCACTTAAGTTTAGTTTTAACTTTAAAAAGGAATACTGCCTTTCCTTGTGCATGCCCTCCAGGTGTAACACATAGTATGTTGGTTAACTATCAGAAAATCTATGTTTCAGGCTCTGGTAAAAACATAATTGATTGTCCTACTTTTACTGCTTCAAAAAATATAATAGTCACTAAAGCGGCTCCCGACTAATACGCAGTTGAACAATAATTTATCACTAACTGGAATT